TCTCCAAAGACCAAATGGTTAGGATTACATTAGTTTGGAGACACTGCTATTTGGTTTCTGTAATATCTTTTTCTATAGGTAGTTTGAAGTCTTGCACATTCACTTTAAGTTTGAAATAACACATCCCAATGATGCAATCAATGGTTCAGAAGATCCATTTCACCTCAGATAGGATTCCAGAGTGAAAGGGTCAAGTTTTCAAACTCAGGTTTGTTCTAAGAAACCCACCGGCCATCTCTGTTATGGCTCCTACTTCTTCTGAACTAGCCTTACATATCTGACTTCTCTCAAACATCTCAAAAAACCAGTTGCTCTCATATTTCTTGAATCAAAAAAATTTAAGACCTACGAATTAATTTTTCCCCATTTTCTCCCTTTAAATACAATGCATAGCCCAGTTATGAGTATGAAAGAGTTATGGAGCTCCTAGGACCACTGATGATCTCCTGGAACAATCTATTTAAAGTGAAATTCCTGGGGTGCCTGGCTGGTTCATTTGGTGGAGCATGGGACTTCTGATCGTGGGGTTGTGGGTTTGAGCCCCACGTTGGCTGTAGAGATTACTTAAAAAGAAAATCTTAAAAAAAAAAAAGTGAAATTCCTTTTAGATCTTCTATCAGAAGTGGAAACGATCTTTCTATCTCAAGACAATGACCCATAAAGGGAGAGCAACTCAATGGACAGCTCAGTGAATTCTGATGTATGCTGTTAAATTTGAGATTAAGAGCAGAGGATCTAAGACTCTTTAAAAAGTAAACAAAATATTTCAGTTCCATAATAAAAGTAAGGAGCAAGAGCGAGAAGGGGAGAAGTAAAAGGACTGAAAAGAGAGAAATTAAGAAAGAGGCAAGTAAAGATTGACACAAAGATTTATAGAGAAAAGGAAGACACACAGGCAGAGAGGAATACAGACCTTTTTGAGCAACACCCCCGCCTGGTGGCCATTTCAGATATTGCCACACCTGACTTAATTCCTACTGCAATTCTGCAGTTAAGAGGCCACACAATGTTGTGGAAGGCTCTGGGAATGTGGAGCCAGAAGGCCTGAATTCCACAAGGGCCCCCATCACTGCCCAGCTAGGTCCAGTGGGTAAGTCATTTAACTTCTATAAGCCTCAGGTGCCACACTTGATTTGCCCTGCATACCTCACAGGGAACTGAAGGGAAGAAAGGAGATATCCATAAAAACTACACAAATACCGGAAATTACAACATCAAACTGTTAAAACACAACAGCAACAAAAGTAGGTAACTGTTTCCTCAACTGGCATGTGAGGCAAAGTATTCCTAATTCCCACCCTAGTCAGGAAGTACAACTGAGAAAACCAAGCCACAATATTTAAGAAATTAAAAAATAATGGAATGGGATTTCAATGAGTTACAAAGCCAATGTTTCTTTTCTAAATTCTACACCAGAAAGTTCAAAAGCTAGTTTCCAAGCCATTCATAAAGCAAGAATCCCCTTCTCCATGTCTAGAGGGGGTTCCAAACCCACAGATGATCGTTTGTCCTTTCCTGCTGACGGAGGCACTCCCACATGATGCAGTCCACATAATGCAGGGCTCATGACTGAGCCTGCTGATGAGTTTCCTTATTTTTGAGCTAGCAAATTATCACTGTGCCTGAGGTTCTTTGCCAATAATTGGCTCAACTACTGCCTATATTTCTCTTAATAATTTTTGGCATTAATATACCTACCAGAGTACAAGTAACCATCACTAACTACACTGCATCCCGCCTTTTAGCAGAACAATTTCATTCTCATGTCCTTCTCAATATGCAGGCTTTCCACACCGTGAATCAATTTTAAGAAAAATTACTTTCTCACCCGAAACCATATGCAAGTAGGGGGAATCATCCAAAGTGTACCCCAGCCATGCAGAGTTCTCCAGGGCCAGAAGGAATTATGTATCTAAGCACAAAATATGTGTGCTGTGCAGCCTGGTCTACCTTAACTCCTTGAAAGCACAGGCAAAAAAAAAAAAAAAAGATATTAGACACCTCCAACCTGGACTATGGAAATAAAGGATCCATATATTATTAAAGTGTTTCAAGCTACTAAAAACCCAAAAGGTAAAACCTTCAGCTGGAAGCTATTTTAAGCCTTCCCCAAAGCCACGTTAACTCTCCAACTCTTCATAAGACAACACTTGGTAGAAACTCAGCAGCATATTCATTTAATTCACTCATTCAACTAATTTTTATATGTCAAGTCCTGTTCTTATGCTGGGGATCTGACAATAAATGAGATCAAGTTCTCTCTGCTGCAGGCTTAGTTTGGGGAGGGGGCAGGCAGACAATAATCAAATAAACATAAGATAATGTTAAGTAACAGTAAGTGAGAGGAGGAAAAGAAGACAGGGTAAAGAGATCAGGGTGTAAAGTGTTGAGGGAGCTGCTACTTTAGACAAGGTAATTAGAGAAGGCCTCTGATGGCATGATATCTGAGCTTAAGACTCAATGAGGTGACCATGACACCACGTGGACATCGAGAAGAACACGATGGGTGGAGAGACCAGCCAGTGAAGGGGCCTGAGGAGTGAACATGCTCAGCATGTTTGAGAACAGCAAGAAGGCCAGGTTGTCTGAAGTGGAAGGTGTAAGGGGGAAAAAGAGGAGGAGGTAAAATCAGAGAGATGGTCAGAGGTCAGACGGTACGGCACCTTGTAGGCCAAAGCAAAAACTCTTGAGTTTCATTCTGAGATAAGAAGCCATTAGAGTTTTAAGTAAGGGAGAGATGGAATTAAAAAAGAAAACCATTGGGGCGCCTGGGTGACTCAGTCCGTTGAGCATCTGACTCTTGGTTTCAGCTTAGGTCATGATCTCAGGGTCCTGGGATCAAGCCCAGCACGGTCACTGGGCTCCGTGCTCAGTGGGGAGTCTGCTTCTCTCTCTCCCTCTGCCTCTCCCCACTGCTCTCTCTCTCAAGTTAATAAATCTTAAAAAAAAAGAAAACCACTGCAGAAATGGGAAGGCATGGAGTCCACTGGAACATTCCAGAAGACAAGTGACAGTGATGGTTACACTAGGGTGTTAGTGAGAAGGGGCCAAAGCAATCAGATTCCGGGTGTACTGTGAAAACAGGGCTGGGATGGAGGACCAAGATGTGGTGTGAGAGAGAAAGAGGTATGGAGAATAAGCAAGGGTTTTGGCCTGAGCAGCCAAGTTCCAGGAACTTAAGATGGGACACTAAAAAAGGAGATTTTGGAAGGGAAGAAATCAGCAACTAAGAGGCCTCCTCTTGTGTGAACCAGGCTGAAGTGGAAAGAATGACTCAGAGAACCTCAGAGTTCACCTGATTCTGTGCTCTGTGCACAAACCCACCATCTGAAAATGTTTCTAAAAAGTGTGCATTTGATATCTGCTTGAAAAACCAGGGGGCGCCTGGGTGGCTCAGTTGGTTAAGCGTCGGCTTTTGGCTCAGGTCATGATCCCAGGATCTCCTTGCTCGGCGGGGAGCCTGCCTCTCCCTCTTCCCCTGCTTGTGCTCTCTCTTTCTCAAATAAATAAATAAAATCTTAAAAAAAAAAAAGAAAGAAAAAAGAAAAACCAGAGAGGGAATAACCACGGTAAGAGCCATCATTTCTTGAATGCTTACTAATTACCAGGCATCATGGTAAGCACTGTACACAGTGTAGTTAATCCTCACACATGACAGCACTTAACCACAGTACCTGGCACATGGGAAAAGATCATCAAATCTTATCCAGAGTATTTGTGAGGTATGTAACATTTTAAGCTGAACAATAACTTTAATAATTATTTCACTAACTAGAGGCTCTATTTCTTTTTCAAATCCTTGATTTAATTTATATTAGGATTTCTATTGTTTCTCAAGCTTAATAGGTAGGTAGTTTTAGTACTTCCTTCCCCCTTTCACAAAGAGGGCAGGCATTCCAAGGTCCTAACTTTACATAGAGATTCCAGGTTCAGCTACCTCCTGAAGGCCCATTTTTATATTATATGGCTTCATGAGCATTAAAACCCTCATACCTACACCTAAGGTTCCTTCCATATTCCCCTGAGATGTTGTTTTACCACTTCACACACACTAGCTTTGAGCTACTGTGATTTAGGTACCTGGGATTTCTCTTTTTTCTTTCAAGTTCATCCAGGTATTTGCTACCTCCAAGTGTTTAAAGAAGGGCAGCCTGGGGGGTGCCTGGGTGGCTCAGTCGGTTAAGCGGCTGCCTTTGGCTCAGGTCATGATCCCAGGGTCCTGATCAAACCCCGCATCGGGCTCCCTGCTCATCGGAGAGCCTGCTTCTCCCTCTCCTTCTGCCTGCCACTCTGCCCACTTGTGCTCTCTCTCTCTGTCAAATAAATAAATAAATAAAATCTTAAAAAAAAAAAAAAAAAGAAGGGCAGCCTGAGTTAGCTTAGTCTGACATATAACCAGAACCGGAGGTCCACTATTATTTTACATATGAGGAAATTGTGCCTTAAATAGGTAAAGTAACTTTGAATTCAGATCTCTCTGATTCCAAGTCCATGCTCTGGTTAGCAGATACCGAAGTTTCTCCTACTCACATTACAAAGTGAATACAAGGAGATGCTACATTTTTTTTTTTTTACCTTAAAAAATTATACAAATCATAAATACCATTGAAAGTGATAAAAATGAGTTTCCCTCATTAATTATTAGTTTCATTTGAGGGAATTTCTGACCATAACCACAACTATGTAAAGTTAAAGAACACAGTGGGAATCATGAAACCTGAGTCCTGCCACTGCTTAGCTGTATGACGCTAGGAACTACAGCCTCTTTTTGTTTCCTGGGTCTTCAAAATGAGAAGAATACCTTCCCTAGAGTCCAAAGGCTGGGATTTGAACAATGAGATTTAATGCATAGGGTATATAATATGTAAGAAAATATCTGGAAAAAAATATACAATACAAACATCATTATTATTAATGTATTATAAATTTCATAGTTTGATCAGGAATAATGAGACATCAACTAAACTAAAGAATCTAAATTAATGCAAATATTATTTTACCTTCATGCTGCAAGCTAATTCCATTAGTTTTTTTGCATTTTCTTCTGAGCGGTATCTCTTAGGAAGCTGAACCCTGAAGAACTTCAAGGCACCTTCAAAGTCTGTCAACAGCAAGTCATCCTTAGAAGTCTTGAAGAAAGAAAGAAAACACAACCATGTATAGGAAAAGTTCTTTGCTATGAAGATGCACAAGAAGCATTTTAAAACACCAGCACCTTTACAATCCCCAGAAGATACTTCTTAGCCAGGGCCTGAGTCACTGAGACGGCCACGGCTACCGCACGGTGGCTGCTTAGGAGATCAAGACCAACATACTTCGAGCGCTGGACAGGGGATGTCACTCAATTTACAAATAAATGTGTACCTTTAATAATCCAAGGGCGACATTAAAAATCACACTTATTCCCTAAAAGAGAAAACACAAAAAGAAGATTTTCAGTGATTACATCTGGACCAGTCAGCTGTCTGTCCCCAGAATGCCCCACAATTTTAAAGTATAAAAACTAAGTAAAGAAATGGAGTATCTTGAAAATATCTTGGAAAATAATAATTACAGATCTGCTACTGAAAAACAGCTTAAAATAGACCCAGTCTCCCATTCTTCTAGACTTTTTTAGCCCTAGTCTCACAATCAACAAGAAAGAATGCTTTTCCAAAGTATTCTATGCTTCCCAACCAAAGCATCTGACCCATAAAATTGTGATCTTTCAGGAAATAACCGCAGGTGGCCTTTTCCTTTATCTTGTGCTACCCCACTCCAAATACAGCAGCAGTCACTCTGTCTGTGAACCCTCCATCCCACAACAGAACCTGCTCAGGGCTCCCTCAAATCTGCCTTTCATCAAATCAGCTAACCATTCTGAGAGTGCTAGGGGCAAAGGAAAGATAAGGGGAGGCACGAAGACCTGCTAAATTCTTTAAGTTCCTGGACGTTGGTTTCTATAACTAATACTCTCCCTCGAGGGTTTTCTGAGCTAATTAGTTGAAAAGTTCGTTTAAATTACTTAACATGACCAGGCCGGTGGTAACCACTTAAAACAAATGGTTGTTTATAATGCTGAGAAATTATAAAACTTAAAGGTCTGAGACTAGCAGTTGATTACATAAACTATGGAATCCCCAAAGAATGAGATACTTGGCAGCAGGTAAGAATAATAGTGTATTTGGTATCAGTGTTTCTGACAGTGTTTTAAGCTGGGTAGAAGGTACAAATGCTTTAATGGATTTTTGTATGCCTTGAAAACGGCATAATTAAACGTGAAGAAGGATGGTATAGATGTGTGTCTATAAGTGTTCAAGTGTATGAAATGAAAAGAGGTTATTGAAGAGCATAGGCATAAAATATATACTTACAGAGCCATAATTACATTATTACATAATACTCCATATGAAAAAAGTTATTCTGTATAGAAGTAACACATGTACATAAGTAAACACAAAATAAGGCTGAAAGAATATATACCAAAATGTTAAGAGTTACTCTCTAGAGAGTGGGATTAAAGTATTTTAAAATCCTTTTGCTTGTGTTTTCCAGTTTCTGTAATAAATATGTATTATTTTTGAAATTATTTTTTTCTTAAACACATACACCCCAAAACTATGCTGTGGCAAAGACTGTTATGTATTCTGATATCTTATTTTTGTTTTAGTAACAGACCCTCTAATTGTTAGCAAATTCCTACCCAGCTTTTAAAAAACTCTCCTTTGTGGCTAGATGTGGTCAGGCCAATAAGAGATAAGTGAAAATTTGGGTAGAACCTCCAGGAAGTCTTTTTTAAAGAGGGGACACATCCTCCCCTGTCCCCTGGCTCTCTAGGAAAGGCAGGTAACTGCCAACGTTCTGGCTTCTTTCACATGAGAGAGAAATGTACCTCTACTTTATTTAGTCATTGTTATTTTGGGTTTCTTCAATAAATGCAGCCAGACCTAACAGTAATACAAATGTGTAACAGTAGGTTGTTTGTTTTTTCAGCAGAGAACACCTTTAACAAAACTTGATTGTTAGCTTTAGCCCAAGGGAGAGTTACTTAAATCTGGATTTTTGAGCACAAAAATAAAATTAACTAAGAAGAAATTCTATTTAATGGAGCTGACACAGGAAGATACTGAGAACAAAAGCCAAAGTGCTGTGGCCTCTGATACATACCTCACATAAAAGCAGGTCAATGATATGGAAGACCATGTAGAGAGGGAATTTTGCAGTGAAAAGTGTAAGAAACCACTGGGAGGCATACATGTGCGCCTCAAGGCTTATATCCAGGAAGTGGTTGTACAGGTCAGGGATGTATTCCTGAAATGGCAAACTAATTAGTTTTGGGCACATATGCAGATGTTCAACTCCCACTTGGGAGGCTCATAAATCTGCCAGGAATAGGCCAAAAAAGTCACATATTTGTGCTTTTCTACAAACCTCCAATGTGCTCAGAAGAACACTTATTATCTGACACTTGGCTCCCCTTTCCAGCCCACAAACTAGCTCAGAGGAGGAATCCCCAAGATGGTGACAAATATTTGGAATGATAGTTTTTCTTTCCAAGTTTATGAAATGTTTGGAAAAGTTTGTTTCACTTTTATTATGATATTCCTAACCAGTTAGCTTCAGAGCCTTGGCAGATATTTCTTGACTTAGTTTGCTGTGTTAAAGGCCCCTACAAAGTCATCTGATCTTTTGGGTGAAAACCTAGCTCACACCCATCAGGTTCACACCTTATTAATCTTGGCATCGTCATCACATAGTGAGAAATGAAAAACATCAAATTAGTCCTTAACCCTGGATGGCTAAGGCAATCACCACTGGTCCTTAGCACCAGTTCATCAACCTGGTTCTCCCAAGTCCTGCACTCTTAGTGGCAAATGCAAGCTGGTTTCTCTTTTTACCTGCATGAGGCGCTCCAACTGGTAAAATTTGCAATGTAAATCTTCAAAGTTTTGCTTGAAAAGTTCCCTGAGACCATAGTCAAACATGATCTTGACCAGAACACTGAATGCCTGTTCTTCAGGCATCTGTAACAGATAGGGAAAGGGGTGGGGATCACAAAACATATACAGAAGTTTTCTCAGTATGTTAATTCGTCCTTCCACTCCTATCTAAAAACTAGGAAATTTCAGTGATACGTAGTAACTCAGATAGTTGTGTTTTATGACAGTCGTTCACTCAACCAAGGGATATTAACGACGCCTATTCTTTGTCAGATAGTGTTGCTATCCTCAAGAAGCTTCCCATACAATCAATCAGTACATAATAAGTATGAATTAGGTAGAACTCATATTCACAACTTCCTTGAATTAGGCAGAAAGATCAGTGGAGATACAAGAACAAGAAAGCCTGAGTCTGCCTGAGGGAGCCAAGAACAGGCTTGTAGGACCATATCTGAACTGAGTAGCAAGAGGCTGCTTCACAAGTACAGGCTTCATCTTCCTCAAACCATTTCACCTCCTTAGCTATTTTCTTCTTCCTCGTTGTTACAAACACGGCCAGTTACAGCAGAACCTTAAATATTCTAAGGTTTAACAGTAATGTTCAAAGTACTTTGTAATGTTTATGGTAATACTTAAAATACTACACAACCCCTCACTTCACTTCTATTTACAGATGTTACCCATTTATAATAATACCTTCATCTTTCATAGCTTTGTGGAAAAAATATTTCCCTGATAACCTGGCAAAATGTCTAGTTTTCAAAATAGAAAAAAGTACTGGAAATGTTATTTAAGGCTTGGTATGACTGTAGCAAGCCTTCAAAATGTCAAGAAGGCGGGCGGGCTTCTGTGGAACAAGGGGATGAGGTGGGCTGAACATAGACATCACTGGAATAAAGCAGAGCTAAAGAACAAATGACATTAAGTAATAAAGGAGAAAAGCACAGCAAATTATTAATGGACAAGTAAGAGCATTTGGAGCAAAGGACCAGATCTCAGAGGTCTCTATCATGGAGGGCAATTTCATAATTTCTTCCACATGCTGAGGGATACTTGGTACTGCCCCAGAGTAGCATTTCTGATGTCAGGTAGCACAATTGCTTTTCCTCTGAAACAAGCATTTATCTCAACACAATGGCAAGCAGCGCAGAGTTCAAACCAAGACACTGCGGATTTATCTGGGAAACCCATTTTATTTTATTTTTTTCCAAAGATTTTATTTATTTATTTGACAGTGCGTGAGAGAGTGCACAAGCAGGGGGACCGGCAGGCAGGGGCAGAAGGAGAAGCAGGCTCCTGCCAAGCAGGGAGCCAGATGTGGGATTCGATCCCAGGACCCTGGGATCATGACCTGAGCTGAAGGCAACCGCTTAACCGACTGAGCCACCCAGGCGCCCCAGGATACCCATTTTAAAGGGGTTGTGATACTTAAATGGGGACAAATGTTCTTGGACTGAAGTTGAGAACAAAGACAAACCACACAAGCCTGAGAGACTCTGAGATATAAAGTCTTACTAAAACAACAAAATTTTAAAACTTTACCCTTTGATGGATGTTAATTAGCTTGACTGTGGATCATTTCGCAATGTATAGCCTATCAACTCATCAAATTATACACCATACACACACACACATTTTTATTTGTCAATTATATCTCAATAAAGCTGGGGAAAAAACTTGACCCTTTTATTAATGTCATAGCTTTATCATACTTTTACATGGTTACTAATATCAATAAGCTAGGTTCTCACAGAAAGAAGATACAAAGTGGTTTTGGTTTTACTTGTATTACAAGCTATACAAAACGGCTTAAAACTCTTCCAAAGCTTCCCCTTGTTTAGGGAAACAAAATCCAAACTCCTTGAGTTGGCCTCTCCAGCTCCCTCCCCAACCCTCATCACAGGTAATGCTCCAGTCACATTGTCCAGCTTCCAGTTCCTTTCATAGGCCAAGTCTTCCCCATTTCAGTGCTTCTATAGGTTGTACTATTCTCTTTGGTGGGAGTGCTCTACTCTCCACTTTTTCTTTTAAAATAGTTTTCTTATTTTCATAATAATGTTAGCTTAAAAAAGTTAAATGATACAGATAAGTACAAAAGAAAATGGATACCTCTTATTTTTCAGCATTCACCTTAATTAAAGGTTACCTCCCTAGAGAAGCCTGTGATATAAATAAGGCTCCTTTGTTACAATCTTGCATCAAACTTTTTGCTATACCTTCATGTCGCCATTGAGGTAATAAAGACATACTTCTGTGACTTTCTGATTATAGCTAGTCAGCTTCCCTAGCTCTGTATCCACAAAGATTGGAACCCTGTCTACTTTATTCACTCCTCATCTCTAGCATCTACTGTGCTAAAGATGGAGGTGCCCACAAACTCTCTAACATCACCTGTGTGGTGTTTTTCACCCAGCATTTTAATTTTAATCACGAGGAAATGGTAAGACAAATCAAGAATGTGGAATATTTTACAAGACAATTTGCTTGAATTTTCCAAGACTGTCAATGGCATAAAGCACAAGAAAGCAGGGGAGGGGAGTAGTTTAGATTAAAAAAGTAAAGAAAAATGACACTAAATGCACTGCTTGAATCTTCACTGATCTTGGTTAGGGGGAAATAAAGCTATAAAGGACTTTACTGCGTAAACAATTGGGGAAAATCAAATGCGGACTCTGTGTAAGACATTACTGAATCAGTGTGGAATTTCTTGGATGTGACCACAGTATTATGGTTATGTCCTTAGGAGATACATGCTCAAGTATATAGAAGTGAAGTACCCTGATGTTTGCTACTGATTTTCCAAAAATAATTTCAAAAAATGTTTTTTAGTAAAAAATAAAATTTGTGTAACAAAAGAGGAAAAGAGAAGCAGACAGAGAAAGTGTGGTAAAATATTAATTGGTAAAATAGAAGAAGAGTTTATGGGTATTCCACCTTAATGATTTTTCAGTTCTGCTGTGGATTTGAAAGAATACCAGTAAGTCAGAGGGTAAAGGTCTTTGCTGAATAAATAAATGAATAAAATGGCACTAAAAGAAAGCCAGCTTCTCTGCTTCCTTCCCACCACTAATACACAGATCCCCAAACAAATACTAATGACAGTGGCTACTTTATAGAATATAAAATGTCCCTAAGGGTTCAATCAGCCAAGACAATCATTCTAGCAATAAAAATGAACTCCACTCTTGTACTAGTGCTCAACACTGTCATTTATTCTTACCGTGTTTCTCTTCCATGAGGATGTTAAATTAAGGAAAAGGTTTCCAGCTATAGGAGTAAAACTCATGCACTAGAGTCTGGCCAAAGGCCATATAAAACCATGCTCAAGTCTAAGGCTAGTAGTATAAGCTGAGGCAGGTCATGTGTAAGTCAAAACAGACGACCTAATAATACTCACATGGAGAAGCAGAACAGCAGCGAGAAATGACTGGCCCTGGCAATAGCCAATCTCTTCATCATACACAGAATATGCCTGGAAAAAGAAAAACACAGGAGGTATAAATAAATAAATATAGTCACTCATGGGCCATACTTGCCTATAGGACCTTGAACACAGGAACCTGGAAGACACCCACACTCCACTATGGCATTTTGATGGTCAGTGAATGATGCAAATATTTCTGATTTTTTTTTTTTTATTTTTAAAAAAGATTTTTTTTTTAATTTGAGAGAAAGAGAGAGCACGAGTAGGGGAGGGAGAGGGAGAAGCAGACTCCCCACTAAGCAGGGAGCCTGATGCGGGGCTCCAACCCAGGACCCTGGGATCATGACCTGAGCTAAAGGCAGATGCTTAACTGACTGAGCCACCCAGGCGCCCCTCTTCAATTTTTTCTCTACAATAAACACACTGTCGCCACACCACTTCCCAGGAGTAGAAAAAGTTAAGCAAAAACCACTTCAGCACTAAAAAAAAAGGTTGCCATGACTCTGTCTTGGCCCTTGCTTTGCCCTCTTCCGTCTGAAAAATGTGCTCTTCCTTCAGGTTCCAAACACTCCATTACCCCAGGGTTCCCCCTCTTCTCTGTACTCTGACGGTACTTGCCACACAAGTACAGTTATTACAGCACTCACCACACTGCATTTTATTTTATTTTATTTTATTTTTTTAAATTTTATTTATTTATTTGTGAGAGAGAATGAGAGACAGAGAGCACGAGAGGGAGGAGGGTCAGAGGGAGAAGTAGACTCCCTGCCGAGCAGGGAGCCCGATGTGGGACTCGATCCTGGGACCCCAGGACCATGACCTGAGCCGAAGGCAGTCGCTTAACCGACTGAGCCACCCAGGCGCCCCCCCACACTGCATTTTAAATGTCCATCTTCTCTACTGGACTGTGATCTTCTTAGGGGCTGGGGTGATGCCCTATCCAACCTAGCCAGCAACTCACACCTTCAACCTAGCCAGTCACACAGCAGGCTCTCACTAAACACTGTTAACGTTATTCATTTTTCTTTCTGGGAAAAAATCTTTTGGCAAAGACACCAAAATACAATTTTTTCCACAATGCCAGTAATAACTTTTCTGATAAGAGGGATTACTCTGAAACCATTTGTGGGTTCCTTTGGAATTCTTATTTTGTATTTTTCTTGGCAGCAGAAGATTATTGCCCATCTCTTCTGAACATTATCTTTAACAGAATACTGACATCTAACATTCCTTGTGGTTTACTCTTTTTGGTTCTTTAGTTGTTTTCCAGAGTCTTGTTTTTATGATTAGTATTTCCAGTTCTCATGTAAGCTGTGGTGGAAAGGGAAATTCCTACAGATTCAAGATGTTATTCCCTGTTTAACAAGTTTATTTTTGATGAAATTCCCTTTATTCTCCACTTACTTTTTGTGCCATGCTTCCTCTGCATCCCAAGAAAGCAATTTAGAATGAGTACGTTCAGAATAAAGATCATTTAGCAAAATGTGATGCCAATGCTTTTTAGATGACAATTAAATTAACATATACATGGATTTTATCATTAGCATTTGGTGAAACACTATAGCTTTTAGTATATATATACACACACACACATATATATAAAATAATCATGCTTTCATAAATGAGGGTAGAATTTAACAATCTCATTAAATCCCCCATTTCATCGAAGCTTATCTAATGAGAAGGCTACACAAAGAAAACACATATACTTTTCCAAAGACAAGATATGCAGAGGGCTTTTGAAACAATCTGTTTATATAATACAATAAGGCATCACTTTGCACCTGTCAAATTAGTAAACACTAAGAAGTGTTAATAATTTTCTTAAGACTGTGTTATAAACAGGGGTGCCTGGGTGGCTCAGTCAGTTAAGCATCTGCCTTCGGCTCAGGTCATGATCCCAGGGTCTGGGATCGAGCCCCGCATTGGGCTCCCTGCTCAGCGGGGAGCCTGCTTCTCCCTCTCCCTCTGATGCTCCCCTGCTTGTGCTCTCTCTCCCTCTCAAATAAATAAAATCTTAAAAAAAAAACTGTGTTAAAAACAGTAGTAATATATGCCAGTAGAGCTCTGTGGAAAGCAGTTTGACAATGTCTGTGAAGTTATCAATTAATAGTTGATTGGTCAAGAAAGAACAGAGGCTTCAGAGTTAGTCAGAGCTGGACTGAAATCCCACAACTGCTAATGTCTCCGTCTGGATCTTAGGCCCATTACTTATATTTCTTATCTGTAAGATGCAAATAATCACAGTATTTATATGACAGACTTGATGTATTATTCTCAGCTCTCTCGTAAATTGCTCAGCACAGGACTTAATTATGTACCACAATGAAATGTATTGAATTTCTATAGGAAGAAAATTGAGGGGAGCTTATTTTTTAGGCTCATGGAAAAGTCTGAAGGAATACATACAGATGTGAAAGTACATGACACATTTGAGACATGTTTAGGATATAAAATTCATGGGAGCTGTAATGAAATATGGGGAATAAAAGGCATTTCATTAATTCATTAACATTTAATGAGCACCAACTATAGGCCAAGCACTGTGCCAAGTGGTACAGATACTAACACACAGAAGTGATTTCTGCCCTTGAGAACTTCACAGTTTAGTTGGGAAGTCTGATGTGTAAATCAACCAGAGTACAGTGAGAAGTTCAATGTAGTTGAAGCATAAAATATTTAGGAATTAAACCAGGATACATTGCAAAATGCCTTTAATGCTAATGCTAAGGCTAAGGAATCTGGGACCGGGAAATGAACTAAGAAATTTTGATTTCATTCTGTGGGTTATGAGGAAGCACCAAAGGCTTTTGTGGAGGCCCTGCAAAAGATCCAATTCTGGGGTCATCATGGAGAAAATAATAAATAGGCTAGAACCCAAAGGGAGGGAGACTAATGCAAGGCAGCTTTTGTGAAAGTGCTAGCACATATGATAGAGGCCTGTAGCAGGCAGTGATTAGAAAGGGAGGTATGGCTATAAGAGACATCAATCCTATCAAACTCCATGTGGCTAAAGGAAGGAACTGAAAACTAAAAGAGAAATGACTGTATCTTCAGCAAGACAATGGCATGGAGGGAAAAAGGAAGACTGTTTCTAATTAAAAGAGCCATAACAACTAAACATATTATGGATACTGCTGGATCCTAATTCTAACCAAATGTATAAAGACATATAGGGAAATCTGAATATGGAGTTTACTGGATGGCACTGATGGATAATGATGGATACTACAGATGAATAATGATCTAATTTTTTAGAGATGTATAGTGAAGAATTTAGATTCATGATATCTGAGATTTGCTTTGAAGTACTTTTTTTTTTTTGAGAGAGAACAAGCGAGTGAGCCTGGGAATGTGAGTGGCGGAGGGGCAGAGAGAGAGAATCTTCAAGCAGACTCCCTGCTGAACGTGGAGCCCGCCACGGGTCTGGATCTCATGACCCATGAGATCACGACCTGAGCCAAAACCAAAAGTAAGACACTTAACCGACTGAGCCACCAGTAGCCCCACTTCAGGAAAATTTTTAAAAGGAATAGAGAAAGCAACTGTGGCAATATATTTATAAATATTAAATCTGGTGGGGCATATATATGAATTCATTATTCTATTAAACTTTTGTTATCTTTGAAAATTCTAATAAAACATGTTTTTAAATGAACTCTATCTTTAGACCTTTTTGTTTGATGTACTTAACAGACTTTTACATGAAGACCAACTGACAGCTAGAAATTTAGGCCTTGAGCTAAACAGAGATTTGGGAACATCTGTGCAGAGGTTGTAGCTGAAGCTGTGGGGGTGGAAGGAGTCACCAGGGAGATAGTATAGAGCAAAAGGAACCACTGACTGAGCACCCAGGGGAATGCCTCGGTTTTAGGAGCAGGTAGAGAGAGAGACAAAGAGGGAGTCAGCAATGTTGAGAGAGAAGGTGAGAGCAAAACCGGGAGGGTGAGAGAGGTCAAGAGGTCAAGAGCAGAGAGCGTTGCAAGAAGACCATTGTGAGACAGACACTAGAGTGCAGTGGGACCAGGAGTAAGGGCTCAGAGGCAGTGAGCACAGGGTTTCTTTATGGGAAATTTTGCAGTGAGGCACAGCTGGATGGCTGCTTAAGTGGAAAGCACAACTGAGAAGGGCCTAAAAAAGGATGATCAGAGAAGAGGATCAAAACAGAAATGACAACTTTGTGGAAATTAAAGAAACATTTTTCTAAACCTAACTGCCCTTATAGTTGAAGCATCTACTTTATCCCTGGAGAACCTGTCCTTTATTATTAGCCTGCCCTAAAACTTGTTAATTCTACCTTTTCAATCAATAATATATAAGTTTCTTAAGGGCATGTCTCATGCCTAGTCTGTACTTCTTAGATAGTAGATGCTACATAGGTACTTGATTAATTTTGGGGGGAAAAGACTAAAGACAGATCTGAGGACAGATGAAGTTGGAGAACTCTGGTCCCAAGTCCTATTTTAGCCTTACAGCTCTGAAGTACCAAAATCTACCGGAAAATGGATTGCTGAAATTGAACATTTCCTTTACACGTTTCAGGTATAGATCTTTTGACAGACATCAGTATGTCCCACCATTTATTATGCTGCAGTGCTAAAAAGTCCACCTAGGCATCAGCACTTCCCACTGTTGGACATGTCCTAGCTGCCAAGTTCATAACTTACAATGGGAATACCAAAAGGGAGTTTGCAGTGTTATAGGACTCAGAGCTCTTAACGTAAAACCAATTTCTAAAAGTTTAAATGTAGAGCTGGGTGGGGAGGGGTTACCTGGGTGGCTCAGTCGATTAAACATCTGACTCTTGACTTCAGCTCAGGTCATGATCTCAGGGTTGTGAGACTGAACTCTGAACCCTGTGTCGGGCTCTGTGCTGGGTGTGGAGACTGCTGAAGATTCTTTCTCTACCTCTGCCCCTCCCCCATAAAAAAAATAATAAATGTGGAGCCAAGGGACTATCATCTGCAAGTCCTGATTAAAAGGGTAAAAGAAACCTTATGATTTTATGTCTCATTGATTTCCTGTTATCAGCATAAAATTAAAGGTAACATCACAATTTCAGAAAGTCTGTGTTCTCCTTTTTTGTCTTTTTTTTCAAAGATTTTTTATTTCTTCGTTTGAGCGAGCGAGCGAGAGAGAGCATGAACACGGGGGGAGGGTCAGATGGAAAGGGAGAAGCAGACTCTGAGCTGAGCAGGGATCCTGACTCGGGGGCTCGATCCCAGGATCCTGGGATCATGACCTGAGTCGAAGGCAGACGTTCAACCGACTGAGCCACCCAGGTGCCCCCTTTTTTTGCCTTCTTATACATCAAATACAAATTACACTTTGTAGTTACCTTTTGTGTAATTTCAAAGAACCAAAATCACCTTTCAAAACTAAGATTTTTTTTTGTGATGTGAAATACCTTGCATATTTTATATAAGGAATCTTGTCCATCTCCTCCTGTGTCCTTAAAATAGTCATGAGCTGGGAATGTCCGGTTAATATCCCGAGTGATAGCACTGTCCTGGGGAGACTCCTGTGGAAACATTAGGAAAGAGGTTTAGTAGTTAATCACGTACGTATTTGTATAAGTTTATACAACAAGGTCTTCTCATTTACGTGCTTTAAAATGCTGCAGGGACATACATATACATGTGCATGCCCAGAGTTACTGCATCTTCAGGGACCAACTGTTCAAGCAAAAGCAAAATCAAATATTAAGGAAAAAAATATGGAAGAAAAGGAACCTGCTTCCTGTATATACCTCATGTGTATTCATCTCTGTTGCAAGAAGTGCAGCTGGTGACCTTTCTATTGCAAGAGGGAAAATGTGGTAATCAAAATGGATTTCCCACAGGAAAATATTCAAATTAATCTCAAAAGGAGGTAAAATGCTCCCATTAGAAAAACTGGGTATAAAAATCGCTGCTTTAAATGATCTTTTGGCATGACGCCCATATGCCAGGTTCTCAAAAGGAAAAGAGAAGTCCCTTAATTGGAGTTTATCCTAAGGGCAAATGGCATAAAAATGTACACAGCAGTCTACTCAATATGAAACTAGACCACCAAATGTCAAGGGACTCAAATAGGCTATGGGAAAAATATCCCTTCCTTTTGCCAATGGAGAAAACTAAACAAATGTCAATAGTATCACAGCAATCCTTTATACAACAAAGCAAGCATCCAGGTATTTCTAATAAATTCCTTGTTAAATTTCATTTGCTCACATGCTAAAGAACTGGAGCACAGAAACATGACCTTCTATTTTAACAGCGCATTGTTTGTTTTTTTAAGATTTTATTTATTTATTTGACAGAGAGAGACACAGCGAGAGCAGGAACACGAGCAGGGGGAGTGTGAGAGGGAGAAGCAGACTCCCCGCCGAGCAGAGAGCCCGATGCAGGGTTCGATCCCAGGACGCTGGGATCATGACCTGAGTCAAAGGCAGATGCTTAATGGCTGAGCCACCCAGGCGCCCCTCAAAAGCATTTTCTAAGTGACTGGAGAAGCCAGACACAAAAGATTATTTTCCATTAATATCATGCGTATGAAATTCTTATAAAGACAAAATTTTAAGTTATAGAAAGTAAATCAGTGTTTGGAAGAGGCTGGAGTTAAAAGAAGAAAACTGATTCTTAAGAGACATGAAGAGAACTTTTTGACGTTTGAATATGGAAATATTATCCAACACAACTACGGTGGTAGTTAAAATGTACTGAGTCATTCACTTAAAATTCGTGTATTTTACTGTATATAAATTACAACTGAATAAAGATGATTTTAAAATGGAAAAATAAAAGAGGACGCTCATACAAATGAAAGAGAGACCCAAGATGATTCCAGCCCTTTAAAGTAGTAAGAGTTCCCAGTCCTACTTTAGGTATATACAGCTAAGTGATGAAAATGATGTATCCATATTTATCTCAAGGTCTTAAAACCTGGGGCACAGCTTAGAGGCACACATATGTGGGTCTGAAAGTTGTCTCAGTCTCTTAAGCTGAACAACTTTAGGTAAGTTTCATACCTTCTGTGACTAGTATCACCTACCTTATAAAGTTGTAGTAAAAGTTACATTAAATGTATATATAAAATATAAATCTATAAAGAGCTTCTATCAGTATCTGACATGTATATAGAAAAGACTCGATAAAAGAGAAAGGAAGCAATCTCCTCTGAACACACATATGTACACACTCACTAGTTATATGCAGAATACACACATCAGGTTCCTAGAATATCTATTTTTATTTTTATTTTAACTTTCCTATAAAACTATTCACATAGGGATAGAAATTGTGATTCACTTTTGTAATTTCCACAGAGCCTAGCATAATGTAGGGCATAAAATCAGTCAATGCTTGATAAATATACCTAATAAAGTCCAAACGCTTCTTCAGGACTAAGCAATGGCAACACTATGTGGTCAACAGCCCTACCCAAACCAGAATCATTCTAATGTTAATGTTTAATTCAAGATCCATGTGAATGAGGCACCAAATTAAAGCAGGAAAGAACCTTATTAATTGGAAAAATGAACAGACATTTTTCCAAAGATGACATACAGATGGCCAACAGACACATGAAAAGATGCTCAACATCATTCATTACCAGGGAAATGCAAATCAAAACTACAATGAGAGTGGCACCTGGCTGGCTCAGTCGGAGGAGTGTGCACCTCTTGATCTTGGTGTTGTGAGTTCAAGCTCCATGTTGAATGTAAAGATTACTTAAATAAATAAACTTAAAAAAAAAAAAAGGCCCAAACAAAACTACAATGAGCTATCACCTCACACCTGTCAGAATGGCTAAAATCAAAAACACAAGAAACAAGTGTTGGTGAGAATGCGGAGAAAAAGGAAAACCCTTGTGCACTGTTGGTGGGAATGCAAACTGGTGCAGCCACTGTGGAAAACAGTGTGGAGTTGCCTCAGAAAGTTAAAAATGGAACTACCCTACCATCCAGGAATCAAACTACTGGGTATTTACCCCTCAAATACAAAAACATTAATTCAAAGGGATACATGCACCTCTATGTCTATTGTAGCATTATTTACAATAGTCAAATTATGGAAGCAGCCTAAGTGTCTACTGATAGATGAATGGATCAAGAAGATATGCCACATATATATCCATATATATGTATGTATGTATGTGTATAATATATATATGGTATACACACACAAATAGAATATTACTCAGCCATAATACAGAACAAGACCTTGCCATTTGCAACAACATAGATGGAGCTAGAGTAAAATGCTAAGTGAAGTAAGTCAGAGAAAGACAAGTATGATTTCACCCATGTGTGGAATTTAAGAAACAAAACAAACAAGCAAAGGAAAAACACAAAGAGAGACAAACCAAGACACAGACTCTTAACTACAGAGAACAAACTGATGGTTACCAGAGGTGTGGTGGGAGAGGGGATGGGTGAGACAGGTGATGGGTATTAAAGAATACACTTACCACGATGAGCACTGCGCAATGTACAGAATCACTATATAGTACACTTGAAACATGTAACACTGTATGTTAACAATAGTGAAATTAAAATAAACTTAATTAAAAAATAAAACACAACATGACATTTAAAAAAGAAATAGGCAAGTAGTACAGATATGTGAAAAAAACTGTATCTAGAATATATCTAGAACTTAAAGAAAAAGACAATCTAATAAAATGGATAAAAATTTGAGCAGACACTTCATAAAAGAAAATACATAAATGGCAAATAAGCAAATGAAAAGGTTAATTAAAACCACAATGAAATAGCCAGCCAAAATGTCTGCCAAAAGAGGATGATCTCTTGTGCACTGGTAAGAAGGGCTATTACCTGGAATACTCTGAAGGGAGTTATTTAATCAAATGACGATTTGGAAAATCAGAATTATAATTTCAAAGCAGTATTAATGCAGTTTCTGAAAGATTTTGGAGCTTGAAAGAAAAAGAGAAGGGAGACTGAAAACATTAAAACAATGAGTAAGATGAATTTCACATTGACAAAGCTTTCCTGAAATGATGAACAGACATGTCATTGACCTACATTTGGAACAGCTACAAAAAATTATTCTGAAAAAATTGTTAGTTCTATTATTGAATTGTATCTCCACCTCTAAAGAGAATTCTTTTTAAGAAAATGCCAGATGAATTTACTCCAGAAATTCTATGAAGCAGCAATGGAAATTCTGAAACATTCTAAGAGTGACAGATTGTGGCTTAATACAAGTGTGAAGGTTACATAAATTATATTAAGAATTGAGAGGGATATGGAAAACTTCAAAATATACTATGCCAGTTACATCAGTCATATCAGATTGGTGATGAAGATAACTTGAAGACACAGTTATTAGAGATATATGGTTTGGAAATTCAAATGCACGTAGGGTAGGAAAATAACACAACTAAAAATATTCTATAACTGGTCAGTCCTCATCACTCTGCCAACCCTCATCCATTGATCATGGGAGTCATCACAGAATTAAGGGGTAAAATGCCCTTAAGAAAAGGTGAATTTGAAAATTCACATGCTGAAATTCAAAGCCTCAACAATGATAATATATTGGGGAGATCTATGTCAACCACTTACTTAAAATATCTAGTCTTAGGAAATATGCTGAAAAACTTGGAATTAAATCCACTTGACTTGCCAGAAGTTAAGCTGTACAAAAATGATCAAGGAATTCTAACAACAATGAATTTAGTAAGTTTGTATCAGAATAGTGACATCACTAACTTTGAAAAGATTCTGAAAACAAATCACAGCAACATTATGGAAAATTTCTTCCTAAGAGAACACAGCAAAGAGCTGTAAAATATCCAAACCCAAGTGCTTATGAACATTAAGGTTTATATAATACACAGTGCTTTTATTTCCAAGGAGTTAAGCATAGGTGTAGCTGGTACAAGAAACTTGCTGGTGGAATGCATTTTACAGAACACTATTCATGGCCAAACTGATGAAGTCAACCAAATACATCCTCTCAACCAGACTATAGTTAGTAAAATGATTTCACAGAGAATAAGCTGTTACAAAGGTACTTAAGACAATCGTGCAGAGATGTAAATCTTAAAAGAACAGGGAATGACAAAACTGTCAGTTGGTAAGTGTCCTGAAAATTATCAAAGGTATGGCAGAAGTGGGTTTTTTTATTTTCATCAACTGGTTTTGTTTCTGCCACTTTAAAAAGGGCTTTAATCTCCAGAAGAAACTAAAATGCCATATGATTATGCAGTATTAACATCTTGCAAACTTTTTCTGTTAAGAGGCAGACGGCGAATAGGTTTGGCTTTGCGGGTCATTTAGCATTAAAATTACTCAATTCTCCCTTTGCAGAGTAAAAGTAGCCATAGACAATATATAAATAAACAAGCATTTCTGTATTCTAATAAAACTTTATTTACAAAAACAAGAAGCATGCTGGATTTGGCCCTTAGGCCACAGTTTGCCAAGTCCTGCTCTAAATATATACCACAGTAATTTTTCATGGGCAATATGAACAGAGATTTGTAATGATTTTAAATATACTGACATGCTAC